ATGTTTAGCTGTACATTTGAAGCTCTGTTTCCAAAAAGCATGAAGTAGGTTTTGTCTATGTTGAAAGTAAGTTTGTTGGTAATCATCCAAGTAAATATTTTTGGCAGTTCAGCATTTACTCTGTCTGTTAGTATGGTTGGGGTTGGGTGAGAAAAGACACAAATAAAATGGGTTTAAGGAGATTAGATGCATTTGGTAGGTCATTAATGTAAATAAGAAAAAAGTGGGCCAAGAACGTTCCCCTGTGGGACTCCAACAAGAACAGGTTGTGTAGTGGAGCTGGCTCCATTTGTGTATACATACTGGGTTCTATTGTTAAGATAAGATTTTATGCAATCGAGTCTCCTCTGACCCTGTAATGTTCGAGTTTTTGGTGCAAAATGTCATGGTCAACTGTATCAAAACCTTTTCGTAAGTCTATGAAAAGTCCCATGGGAAATTCATTTGTCTTGAGTGCAGAATATATTAGTTCAAGCATATGTATAATAGCATCATTAGTAACAAAAAAAAAAAGGCACAATACCATGACTGGAACAATACACAAATAACCTGTACATAGAAGAGAGGAGCTTACGACGACATTTCGGTCCGACTTGGACCATTTACAAAGTCACACCAAGGAGAAGTAGAGCAGGAAGGGTATATATAGGAAGGAAGTGGTAGTGGTAATAGTATTAGTGGAGGTGGAAGGTAGTAGTGGAGGAAGAGGAAGAGGAGGAGGAGGAGGAAGAGGAGGAGGAGGAAGAGGAGGAGGAGGAGGAAGAGGAGGAAGAGGAGGAGGAGGAAGAGGAGGAAGAGGAAGAGGAGGAAGAGGAGGAAGAGGAAGAGGAGGAAGAGGAAGAGGAGGAAGAGGAAGAGGAGGAAGAGGAGGAAGAGGAGGAAGAGGAGGAAGAGGAGGAAGAGGAGGAAGAGGAGGAGGAGGAGGAGGAGGAGGAGGAGGAGGAGGAAAAGGAGGAGGAAGAGGAGGAGCCAGTCAAATACATACTAAGAAAGAGGAGCACTGCAAGGGAGCAGTGACCTAACCTGATTCCTCCCTTTTCTTCTTCTCCCTCTTCCCCTTTCCTCTTTCCTTTTTCTCCTCTGGGCTATCTTTCTTCTGCCTTGTGTTTTTGTTCCTTCATTATTTATTTTTTTATTATTATTTCCCCCCCTCTGTGCTCTTGCTCTTACCCTCTGTGGACACTTAGCTTCCTTGCAGCATTTCCCTTTCTTAGTATTTGACTGGCTCCTCCTCCTCCTCACTTCCCGACTACTGCTTCCTTCCACCTCTACTACTACTACTACTACTATTACCACTACCACTTCCTGCCTATATATACCTTTCTTGCTCTACTTCTCGTTAGTGTGACTTTGTAAATGGTCCAAGTCGGACCGAATCGTCGTCGTAAGCTCCTCTCTTCGATGTACAGGCTATTTGTGTAGCATCATTAGTACTTTTTTCGGTCTGAACCCAAACTGACAAGGGTTGAGTACGTTGTGCGAAATGAATTAGTAGACTTGATTGTGAATTAATTTTTCGAAGATTTTAGATAGTAGGGGCAGGTTTGATATAGGCCTCTAATTGTTCAAGTCAGCTGGATCACCTCCTTTAAGGATCGGGGTGACTCTTGCTGTCTTGAGTATGGATGGGAAGGTGGAAGATTCAGTGGATTTGTTAAAGAGAGTTGCAATAATTGGTGACAACACATGAGAAGCTTTTTTATATATGAGTGGTGGTAAGTTATTTAGGTCTCCTGCCTTGTTCTTTAGTGTTTTGATAAGCAAGATTTCAGTAGGGTTTGTTGGGGCTAAAAATAGAGTATTTGGGTAATTGCCAATGAGGTAGTCTTTCGGTTGAATGTTTGTGATTGCTAGTTTTGTTCCTATGGTAGAAAAAAAGAAATTAAGTTTGTTGGCAGTATCAGCTGGCTGAAGGAGAGGTTCGTCTGGTTTAGTCAAGATAATCATTCTGTTTTGTGATAGCTTTTTTAATCCTAGAATTTCAGATAAGGCTTTCCAGGTCTTTTTCATATCACCTTATATGTCGTAATACAGTTTTTTGGACCTCCTTATTAGATTGGTTAGTACTGACGAGTAACGTTTTGTGTGATCCTTTGTTATTAGACCCATTCTGTACTGTTTTTCGTACAGATGTTTTTTATCAATAGATTTGAGGATGCTGTTTGCAAGCCAGGGGCTGTTTAGTCTCTTTGCTGTGATCTGCTTAGTTTTTGGGGCAATGCATGTTATAGAGGTTTTGGGTTTTTGTAAAAATATATTAACACATTCATCAATATTTAAGTTGTCTGCTAGCTCATTTTGCCAGTCAATGTCACTAAATGCTGAAATAAAGTTATTAACAGATGACTTGTCATATAGTCAGAATGTGATCTTAGTTGCGTCCTGGGGCACTTTACACAAGTTGGTTATGAGAAAGATGGGACAGTGGTCAGTGGTGTTATCTGTGATTATGCCTGCTTTCAACAGGGATATAAAGTTTGTCCAGATATGGTCCAGTAATGAGGCATTTGTGTCAGTGATTCTTGTAGGTTTTATTATTGTTGGTAGAAGCAAGCAGCTGGTCTTAGTGTTAGCGATGAGTAAGTATTAGGTGGTGTTTATTCATTTCAGCACTAGTTATTATGTTTCTTAGTTTTTCACTAAAAGAGTAAATACAGTGGACCCCTGCCTTACGATATTAATCCGTTCCTGAGAGCTCATCGTAAGCCGAAATTATCGTTAGCCGAATTAATCTTCCCCACAAGAAATAATGGAAATCAAATTAATCCATTCCTGACACCCTAAAGTACGAACAAAAAAAAATTTTTACATGAAATATTAATTTTAATACACACAAACTGAAGAAGACATGCACAATTACTACTCTACTAAGAATAGAATACATGACATTTACCTTTATTGAAGATCTGGTAATGACTGATGGGATGGGAGGAGGGGAGTGTATGGAAGTTATTGTTTAGAAGGGGAATCCCTTTCCATTAGGACTTGAGGCAGCAAATCCTTTTCCGGGGTTACTTCCATTCTTCTTTTAATGCCACTAGGACCAGCTTGAGTCACTGGACCTCTGTCGCACAATAAATCTGTCCATAGAGCTCTGTACCTCCTGTTCCTTTAAGACTTTCCTAAAATGCGCCAAAACATCGTCATTGTACAGGTTGCCAACACGGCTTGCAGTAGCCGTGTCAGGGTGATTTTCATCCGTAAAGGTTTGCAGTTCAACCCACTTTGCACACATTTCCTTAATCTCTTTTTTCAATTCCATACTAATTCTCGCCCTTTTTACCACAAGGATGTTACTAGAAGCTTTCTTGGGGTCCATGGTGACTTATTTTGCAGTTACAAGCACTAAAAACACTGGGATAATGTGAAATGTACCGAAAGTATGCATAGATGCGACCGCACTGACTGGCTTGTAAACACCGGCGCTGAGGCCACATGTGGGACGCGTCCCGGACGAATCACGCAAGGCGAGTTTTTTATCGTGAGGCAAGGCAAAATTTTTGTGTTCAAATGCTTCGTATGGTGGATTTAACGTAATGCGATGCGTTTGTAAGGCAGGGGTCCACTGTACTAAAAAGGTTATAAGTGGTGCAAAGGTGACAGTAAAACAATATTAAAGATGGTTGACACAAACCCACTACCATTATGGTATGCTCCTTGCTTAGCAATGAATTAGTTTAATGATGTGATCTTAGGAACAAAACTCTATCGTTAAGTGAGGAAAGGCTCTATTGCACAATAGCAAATCTTCTATTTTTTGGTGTCCCTAAAAATTCTTTGCGAGAAAAAAAAATCAAAATGGAATTTATGTGTAAAGCCTGGAAACTTAACTAAGGAATAGAGAAAATGTTATTTTAGTGCCAGGAATGCCTGCATTGTTTATTCTGAACCCTATTTTGAAAATGGAATATTTTGAAATTTGTGTGAAATTAGCCAGATTACCAATTTCTGATCACTTTACTGGGTACTTGAAATAGCTGACTGGGCAGTTTCTTGTGCTCAACTGATAAAATTCAAATTCAAATTTTTATTTCTTTGCAAAGTTTACAATGTGTGACTGACATATAAGGAGTATTTCCATGCATATTTACAATGTTTAACTTTGCAAGTGCAAAGAAAGCCACTATCATGCTGAGGCATTTCAGGCAGACTACACCTAATACATTACAGAATATACCTATACTAGATACATATATCATTGCTGCGTCGAATTGAACATTGATTTTTTATATATCAACAGAGGTAGTTACAGTATTATAGTTTGGCACATGGCCAACTTAATATTAACTTAGCAAAATAGCTAAGAATTTGGTTGACTGGAACAACGTAATTAGCCTAAAATAGGAGTCAAAGTGGGTAAAATTACTGATGCGTAAATATTGCCGACTCGGCAAATTTCGCAAAAGCGTAATTTCGTCAATTTCCCATCAAATTTCGTACTTTTTGTTTTATTACCTTCAGAAAAAGATTCTCTACCATTTCATAAGAAAAAAAAAGGGGGGGGGGGAATTCTTGGACCCTGTGGACACTTCAGATTGGGGCTCTGGATCCTTAAGGGGCAAAGTGAGCAATAGAGCTAGGCCTAAAAAATGCATATACAATACACACATTACTGACCTTAAATTATTTTCATCCTTAGCTTATAGTGAGTGGTGAATATGTTATTGTAGAAGTCTGAATAAATAAATGAAGAATGGGTATACTTGAAAACCGCTGTATTAGTGAAATGCTGTAGTGGGGTCCTCTTGCATTAGCAAGCCCAAAGGCTACATGTGCCTGATATTTAAATTTATATAAAATATAGTAACAAAATTATTAAATTTTAAGGTGCAATACTGCCTTGTTTAATTAAATATTTATTATCCAAACATATATTTGATACTGATATGAACATATAAGTATTATCTAAAGGTAGTTAAAATACCAAAATCAATAATGTTGAATGGATCATTCTTTTAACATGCAAGTGTTGGCTATTTTGCTTGCAAATATCTTCTTACCTCTATGCTGCGCGTTGCAAATTCCACACCAATAGTGGACTTTGACTCAAGGTTAAATTCATTCCTCGTAAATCTTGAAAGAAGATTACTCTTGCCAACACCAGAATCTCCAATTAACACCACTGCAAAGGAATATCAAGTGTTAAGAGAATAATATAGTTCACCAAAAATTACCAATTAACACAATTACACATAGAACAGGTAATCAAATAATTAGAGTATTTTTGAGCAACTGCTGGGCTCTATAAAAGACTCGAACCAATGTTTTGCACTGAAAATACCAAAAATATACAGTAATATATAGATTACATATCACCAACTAAGATCACAAAGGAGATACCCAATGTAAGACTGGCAAAATTTTGGCAGTTACTGGCAGATAATCACATAGCCTATCCATTCTTGCTTCTTACATCAGGAAGCAAGAAAAAAAAAAAGTCCTGGATTCAAGGAAGCAAAGGGCCGTTTCAGTTTGCTGGTGTGTGCTAATGCAATGGGTAACCTTAATTAACTGCAGACCTACGCTCATTTATTGCTCAAAGAATCCCAGTGCTTTAAAACAGGGAAACAAAACCACTCCATCTGTTATGTTTCACTGTAAACACTTGGTCTACACACCCCTACCTTTCCTAAAGCCGCCTCCTTCATCTGCTATTCTGCTCTCCGTCTTACTCTTAATTCCTTCAATAATAGTACCATACATTGTACCAGGTATGTTCAACAGACTTATTCCCCTATAATTTTCATACTCTCTTTTGTCCCCTTTGCCTTTATACAAAGGAACTATGCATGCTCTCTGCCAATCCCTAGGTACCTTACCCTCTTCCATACATTTATTAAATAAAAACACTACTCCAAAACTATATCCCCGCCTACTTTTAACAATTCTATCTTTATCCCATCAATTTCAGCTGCTTTTCCCCTTCTCATTCTACCCACTGCCCCATGCACTTCCCCCATACTCACAACTGGTTCTTCCTCACTCCTATAAGATATTACTCCTCCTTGCACTATAACAGCCTCGTCGATCAGGCCCTGATCCACCGGGAGGCCTGGTCATGGGGGCGTTGATCCCGAATGCCCTCCAGGTAGATACACGAAATCACAGCTTCCTTATCTTCAACAACATTTAACAATTACTCAAAATATTCCCTTCATTTCCCGATACCTGCAATTACGACCATGATAAATTCGGATTAGCAATGTTTTATTAGCAGGTAGTGCCGAAACAGCTTCTAGTGGGACCAGTACCCGGCCAGGGCTTGCCATATATGACTTTTGGTAAATATTTTTTACTCAGTTGTTTGTTGGGCTATCTTATTGAAACTTGGGCAATGAATGATGGAAAGATGCTTCTTAATGTACACCAAAAATGAAAGAAATTGAACGATAAATAACGGAGTTCACTACTCAGCCATTTAATTAAATCTCTTAGAACTCGTGCATTGTTAGTTTTCTCTGTTATTCAAGGTTTTTACATTTAGTTTACTATTACATCATGCATTCTATGGTATAATTAACTATTTTTGTGCTTAAAAAAAAAAAAACAATATTTACATACAGTTCACAGGGGTCTGGAATGGATTAATTGTATTTGCATACAATCCAATGGGGAAATTAGGTTCGGGTCATGGCCAAATCGGGTCATGACCAGAGTTTTGGAACGAATTATGGTTGTGACCAGAGGTTCCACTATATAGGAAAAGAGTAAGGTGATTAGTATAACAAAAAAAAATTAGGTGATGAAAGACTGGATATCAGATTGGAGGGAGAAAGTATGGAGGAGATGAATGTATTCAGATACTGAGGAGTGGACAATGAAAGACAAGGCGAATCATAGAACTGGTGAGAGAAAAAAGGCGAGTGGTGCACTTAGGAGTCTGTGGAGACAAAGAACTTTGTCCATAGAAGCAAAGAGATATATGTATGAGAGAATAGTTATACCAATGCTCTTATATGGGTGTGAAACATGGGTAATGAATGTTGGAACAAGGAGAAGGCTGGAGGCAGTGGAGATGTCATGTCTAAGAGCAATGTGTGGTGTGAATATAATGCAGAGAATTTGTAGTTTAGAAATTACAGGGTGTTGTTGAGGTGGTTCGGACATGCAGAGAGAATGAAACGAAATAGAATGACTTCGAGTGTATAAATCTGTAATGGAGGGAAGACGGGGGTACGGGTTGACCTAGGAAAGATTGGAGGGATGGGGTAGAGGTGGTTTTGTGTGCAAGGGGCATGGACTTCCAGCAAGCCTGAGTGTGTTAGGAGTGAATGGAGACAAATGGTTTTCAGGACTTGACGTACTGTTGGAGTGTGAACAAGGTAACATCTATGAAAGAATTCAGGGAAACCGACAGGCTGGACTTGAGTCCTGGAGATGGGAAGTAGTGTCTACACTCTGAAGGAGGGGTGTTAATGTTGCAGTTTTATAACTGTAATGTAAGTGTGCCCCTGGCAAGACAGTGATGGAGTGAATGATGAAAGTTTCTTTTTCAGGCCACCCTGCCTTGGTGGGAGACGGCCGATCTGTTAATAAAATAAATATAAAATAATTTATAGCCTCGATGCCTCTGAATTGGCCTGTTTCCTATGTCATTTCCAAATTCCTTTAGTTTTCAAACCTCTGCAACAGACCACCAACAGCAAAAACCATGGCTGACTAGGCAAGCACCAGAAAAGCTCGACTGATATACGAGAAACACACCTGAAACCAGTCACAGGTATATTATAGGTTTATGGATTATTAGAACTTGCAAAACAAGAGAAGCATTGACAATGATACTCAACTTAATGGTGTACTTATGACTAATACTGTTGTGTTATCACTGCCTTTCAAGGCAGGGCGGTTGGAGAATACAACCTCCCACAGAATCAATAAAACATGTAAACTATTGGGAATGCCTGAAAAGCACTTGGAGTGTCCTCCCTGAAACAGAGAGATGAGAAACTTAATGTATACACAGAAGTTGCTTGGTATAACAGACCCCTATACAGGGGATACAGTTTTTTGGAAGGACAAAGATTTGCCAAGTCTGTTGCATGGGACATCTGGTAAAATCATCGATGCAGTGGACTCAAGTACGTTGCATCATATGTTTGCCTACCAGAACAGACAGGAATCACAGAGAAAGCACTAGTGGATCAAAGAATATTTAATGGGAAGGAGGCAATGAGTAACTGTCAGGGAGGTGCTGGAATAGGTATGACTAGTGGGGTTCCACAAGGGTCAATACTTGGTCCTGTACTGTCTATATACTAAATGATGTGACAAGAAATAGAGGTATCCCTGCATGCAGATGTGAAACTAGGGAGAATATAAAAAGTAGAAGACCATGAAAAACTACAAATTGATTTAGACAAGCTCCATGATTAGTCTGACAAGTGGCTATTGAAATTTAGCCTCAGTAAATGCATTACCATGAAAATCGGAGGACAAAGATGTCTGGAAATGGTACAGGAGGCACAAAGAATGCAAACCATCCTAAAGAGACTTCTGGGTAAGCATAAATCTATGCATTTTGCCTGAGGCACACAACTGAATGACTACTGCAGCAAATGTGAAACTGGAAATTTATGGGTGGCTTTCAGGGATGACAAGGAGTCATTCATAACCTTATACAGGGCATGTGTCAGGCTCAACTTAAGAGTATATGGTGCCAGTATGCAGCCCCATCTGGTAAGCATGTAAAAAAAGCTGGGAAAATTACAAAGGTTTGCAGAAAAACTAGTCCCAAACCTATTATGAGAAAAGGCTAGAGGAGTTAAACCAGACGACACTAGAGGATGGAAGGACCAGCCGACATTGTTACGCTGTACAAAATGAAGAATTGACTGGGTGGACAGGAGAGCGGAGAGGCATTCTAGGTAACATAGGTCGCAGTTGGAATTAGAGGCACCGATGACAATAGGGATGTTGAGTAATACTTACCTTATAGTAGTCAGTGTGAACACCCAAGACAGTGAAGTGTTAAGCGACTAACATAGCTTAAAGAATAGTAAACCATAGCACTAACAGAGAGGCAGGAAAGGAGCAGAGATTTCAACCCCTGTAACCACAATTGTTCAATATGAAAGTGTTATTAGTACAGTGCCAGAAGCAGCAAAATCTGCTGCATCGCAGTTTCCTCCATTGGCTGCCTTCACAACCTGCCGATTTCATTGTAAATGACAACACGCACTGTCTGATCCCTTAATTTAGCCACTTTCCCTAAATAATTGTAGTCACTTGAGTCCCCATAAATAAGGTTTTTATTGCACTGGGGCTTAATTTTCCATATGAAAATATTCCTGGAATTCAGTCTGATTCTATAATAGTAGAAATTTGCTCTTCCTAGATTAAACATTTTTATTCCCCACATTTCTTTCAGAATGTTTTACCCCCAGTTACACCAAATGCAATCAGTTATATAATCCATCACCCAAAAACTTCATTACACACTAAGTACATTATTACATTCACAGGAAGGAACTAAACCCACTGAGTCATATCTTAAGATACAACTTATGGGCTATGGCATTTAAAATGTCATAACCCATGTATCTTACATGCCAGTATTCAGTATAATTTAACTTTTCACATCAAGTTATTACATTGCATGGGTAACAGGAGATAACTGGGCTTGAGCGAAGGAAAGGGAAGGTTGACAGAGTGCCTTGGATAAAAAAAATCAACAGCATCCAGGCAACCCCCTTAAAAGCTGTGTGTGAAGAGTTTTGAGGCTTTTCTACCAATGAGCCTTTAGCCAGGCTTGCTTGTTGATTCCTTGTTCAAACAGAAAGCAGCTTGTTAGGTTTATAGAGCCTAGAGTCATCTATGTAATGATTTATTTTTAGGAAGCAGTGCTAAATTCGTTATTAATGATAGAATATATAATAAGCACTGCAATGCATGCCTTTAGGTCCTCAATCAATATAGAGAAGAGTTCAATCTAATGACTATACACCTAAGCTCACTGAAGGTATTGCCAAATGATTCTTCTGTTACATCTCAAACTTCAGTGATGTTTTTCAAGCTGAAGTTTTGCCAGCTTAGAGCCCATAATACCTCATACCCTGAACTTGCACAATTTAGATAAGGGTGTTTGCTCGTACTCATCTTAGAGTTAATAGAGCAAAGAACTGCCAAATTTTGTGAACAAAAACGGCATGCTTGTACCTGTACAGTTTACTGTTTTATTTTATGTACACATTCCAAAATAATGTTAAAAAAGTAGGTGACGTGTCGTCACTTGACCGATAAACGATGACGTCGATCAGCTGATTTGTGTCAACTAAAGGGAGTGGGCGGACACACTTCACTATATTACAAAACTTACAACGTAAAATTACGAAACTCCGTTGCAAGATTACTCACCTTTGAATAAATAATCATATTCGTCGTCCCTGTTCCCCATCTTTCACGGGTGAAATATGAAAAGTAAACAAAAGTAGCTCGTCGTGAGGGTGGAAAAAAAAACCACTGAAACGAGAAAACAAAACTGACTTATCACAATTTTTCAAGCACCATGAAAGAGTTGAACCTATAATGAACCATCAATTAGTATTCTCACTCTGTTATATACCAAGATGTCACAGAAACGAGGCGATAGCAGAGCGAGCTGTCGCTCACAATAAACTAAGATGGCGAACCGTTACGCCTCTGTGTGTGCGCAGGTTACTGAGGAGGTTCCGCGCAGGTCTGCAACACACCACCAGGAGGATTGGAACTTCCTTCTTCTGAGTTAAAAGCAATTTGATATCTGTTGTTCACACCCCGCTCAATCTTAGACAAGATAACTTTTTCCACAGTAAAAATACATTTGCGGCCCACTCCCTCGACTCATTATTAAACTATTCTGCGTAATGCATGTAAGGAGGTTTGTATTTAGGTTTTACCTACTTTACATATATTTTTACAAAGGTTTTGAGGGCACACAGGTGTTGTGGTCACATAAAAAAGTACATTAAGTAATTTAACTTATTTATCTTAAGTAAATATAGGTAGTTAATGATTTAACCTTGTATGGAGTCAGGTAGATCAGGGCAGCCAAACACGTGATGTAACTAATGTTATTCAATATATATTAATTAAATAAGATAAATACATAATGTGGTGTACTTAATCTTGTAAAAAAAAAAAACATAAATGCACCGTGGCTACTTTGATGATCTGTATGACATTTTACAAGGTTAAAGCAAGAACAAAGTGTGTTTACCTAAGATACCCATCACACAAGATAAGTTTTCTAATCAGCTAATAAAATGTCAGCCTGTGGAGGTTTTTTTTTTTTTTTTTTTTAATCTGTGAGCTGATATTCAGCATCACTTAATTTTACAGTCCAGGATCTAACCCAAGTCCCTACTTACTGGAGGTTATTACCTATTTACCGCTAGATGAACAGTAGAACCGGGTGTCAAGAAACATGCTCACTTCACCCATCCTTGACTGAACCCGGATCCTTGGGTTACATAAGAACATAAGAACGAAGGAACACTGCAGAAGGCCTACTGGCCCATGCGAGGCAGGTCCAAGTCCCTACCGGCTTAAGCAAATGCACCCAACCTTGTCAGGTCAGGTCACATTGAGTTAAGGGAGGAACACGGCAACCGACCTGTTAGCACAAGCTATCAGGTCTAACTCACACCCACCCACATCTACTCATGTATTTATCCAACCTATTTTTAAAGCCGAAGACATTACCACTAAGCTATAACTTAGCCACCACCCCTCAAGGAAGATTCCGTGATGTTGGTGAGGGGCTCTTGATTTAGGGAATTGGACCTGTGCTCCAGTTCCCCGAATTAAGCCTGAATGCCTTCCACATCCCTTCCCCCAACGCTGTATAATCCTCCGGGTTTAGCGCTTCCCCTTAATTATAATAACAATAATACAAGCTACCACTGAAACTTCACGTATTAAAAAAAAATATGCGTGCTTTTGCAATCATGTCACTACCACCCACAGGATGGATGTTTTCCATAATGAACCAATAAACTTAAAAGAAAATACTAAAGTTAATGTAACACCACATAAGTGATTTACTAAAGTGCTTCAAGGCAACTACGACGGTGTCAAAATAACTGACGTATACCGTATCTCGCTCATCAAACATGTTAATATCAAGTGCTTTCATCAGGTGTGTAATTTCGCCTACACACTTAAGTGGCTAAGTGCTGAAGCCGGTCTATATAGATCTAATGATTAATGTGAAGGGTGAGTTACGTTTATTTAAGTACAGGAACACGTTAGTACAATTTTCATACCTAGTAACGTATGTGTAAATTACCTAGGATAACCCTCCAAAAAGTCAAAATAACTTACTTCCATTGTAATATCTTAACATTTAAAACTTTGCTGTAAAATACAGTAGAAATCAGTCATGATTATAAGCTTAACCATTAAAACATCTAAGTAATTCAACTGTGTGAAAATCAGTGTACAGTTAAAAGGAGGTGTAATAGGAGTAAAGTGAACTGAGTTATTTACATGAACGTTAAATTGAGGTGATCAGCTTACAAATAACAGGTACAGGAATGTTAACTATACAAGATGCAGAGAACTGTAAATATATTTTTAACACAACATTGGAATACTGGATTTCCAGCGTACTAGAGTTGTCTTACACTGGTATTTGCCCAGCACATGATGTAAAGCAGGATTGGAATTTCTAACATTTGCATTACAATTTTCCCATGGATTAGATATGGTGTGAATATTATGCTTAGAATTCGAGCGTATACATTAAATGACGGAGTGGGGTTACTAGACTTATAATTTCGAAGGACGAAGAGGGTTTGTTGAAGTGGCTCGAGCGTTTAGAGAGGACAGAGCAGTATAGGATGAAAAAAGTGTATAAATATGGGTGAAAGAAAAGAGGAATAGGGGTCGTCCCATGAAGGCGCAGAGGGGGGAGAGGTTTTAAGTACTAGGTACTTGAGTATTCAGCAGGCTTATAAGAGCATGCTGGATAGGAGTGCGTGGAGACGAGTGTTTTCATTGTTTGACGTTCTGTTGGAGTGTAAGCAAGGTAAAATTTATGAAGGAATTCTGGGTAACCTGTTAGCCGACCATGAGTCCTTGAGGCGGGAAGGTATTGTTCTCACACCATAGTGAGTGTTGTGCCCACACCATGGTGAGTGTTGTACACACACCATGGAGAGTGTTACACCCACACTATGGTGAGTATTGTGCCCACACCATGATGAGTGTTGTACTCACACCTTGGTTACTTGTACCTACACCATGATGAGTGTTGCACCCACACCATTGTGAGTGTTGTGCCCACACTCTTAAGGAGGGGTGAGGATGTTACAGTTCGGAGAGTCACTTGAATTCTGATGCTTGCACACTTCTAGCAAGATAGTTATTGAATGAGTAACGTTTCCTGTTTAAGGGTCACATTACCTCGGCGGGAGACGGTCGGTGTTAAAAAAAAAAGATGCAGCCGACAACAGTGCTATTACAAAGGCGCCTACACAGGACAAGGTATCAGTACGTCACGTCACTTATGGGCAGGGTTCCTGACACCTGCTGTGTTCACCTGGAAATAAGCTATACTATTATCTCATACCCATGCACTCTGCCCCTGACCCATTATCTCATGCCCAAGCACTTAGCCCCTGACCCAGACTCGTGGAACTCCGTGCTCATCAAGAACTGCAAAAAACCCCCTTCACGTGCCTTAAATATTCTATGGAGAGGGAGCATTGACACAGGGGTCATCCCACAGTCACTAAAATCAACAGATATAGTCCCACTTCACAAACATGACAGTAAAGCAACAGCAAAGACTTACAGACCGATAGCACTAACGTCTCACATCATAAATCATTGAGTCTTTGAAAGGGTTCTTAAAAGCAAGATCGCCAGCCACTTGGATACCCAACAATTGGAGAACCCCAGGGTTAAAAGCAGGTCGCTCCTGCCTCTGTTAACCACTAAATCACTATGACATGGTCTTGAATGCACTGGAAGACAAACAAAATGCAGATTTAGTATGCACAGACTTTGCTAAAGCTTTCGACAAGTACTATTACGGTGTAATTGCACACAAACTGCGCGATAAAGGAATAACAAGAAAAGTGGGTAGACGGATCTATAATTTCCTAACAAACAGAACACAAGAGTAATAGTAAACAGAGTAAAGTCAGAGCAGGCTACAATGAAAAGCTTTGTTCCACAAGGTGCAGTACTCACTCTCATTCCTTTCCTCATCCTCATATCTCTCATAGACAGATATATAAGCCACAGAACCATGTCCTCCTTGCTGATGATACCAGAATTTGCATGACAGAGCCATCCATTGAGGACTCTGTAAATCCCCAAACTGACATTAACCAAGTCTTTGAATGGGCCTCATAAAATAATATGAAGTTCAATGAAGACAGCTTTCAATTACTCCGCTATGGAAAATTCGAGGAAATAAAAATTGGATCGGAATATAAAACAAATTCCAACCACACAATAGAACGAGAAAAATAATGTGAAGGACCAGAGAGGGACAATGTCAGAGCCTCACTTTCAAAGATCACAACAATGTCTACCACATCTGCAAGGAAAATGACAGGATGGATAATGAGCACCTTCAAAACTAGGGATGCCAAGCCAATGATAATTCTTTTCAAACTGCTTGTTCTCTCTAGGCTGGAATATTGCTATACACTAACGGCCCTTTCAAGGCAGACGAAATTGCAGACCTGGAGAATATACAGAGAACTTTCACTGCACGTTTACGTACAATAAAGCACCTAAATTACTGGGAACAGTTGCTGTCGCTTGACCCGTACTCCTTGGAACGCAGGAGAAAAAGATACATGATAATATACACTTGGAAATCTTAAGAGGGACTAGTCTCAAATCTGCACATGGAAATCACTCCCTACAAAAGCAAAAGACTCGGCAGGCGGTGGAACATCCCCCCAATGAAAAGCAGGGGCGCCACGAGTACGCTAAGAGACACAGTAAGTGTCAGGGGCCCAAGACTATTCAACTGCCTCCCAGCATACATAAGTGGGATTACTAATAGACCCCTGGCTATTTTCAAGAGGTAGCTGGACAGGCACCTAAAGTCAGTACCTGACCAACCGAGCTGTAGTTCATACGTCAGTTTGCGCGAAGCCAGCAGTAACAGCCTTGTTGATCAGGCCCTGATCAAACCGCGAGGCCTGGTTGACTCCCCAAATACCCTCCAGGTATTAATGTGACCATCGGTATGATTTCGGCTGAGGTTACAAGTGGTGAAACTCTCCTTTAATTAATATGTCTAGAGAGTGCATGTGCCTTATTCCCATAATCTGTCGGTATTAACATACTGAACATGTACAAGCTGATCTATTGAACCTCTCCACTATGTTGTAGCAATCACAAGATGAATATTATATCACTTGTACTGTAGTACTTGACACTGATGACATATTGGTAGAGTATGGCACCTTAATGACAAAGCTTAACACTAGAAATCTCTGGCTCCATACTTCACTTTACCTCAAAGGTGAATATGGATCTTGTAGGGTAGCTCTTCATGAGTTTTGATATGAACCACCGAGTCTTAATATAAACATTGGTAACTGATCCGTTTGTTAGAAGTAATGAAGGTCCCTGGTACGATTTTTTTCTAATAAATATGCCCTAGTGCTTGCTATGTCCTTTAAACCAGCGGCTCTTGTCATATTAC